TGTGATCTGAGTAGTCGAAATTTTACTGAATGCTATTACAGGGAATATTTTTATAATACAATTATTAAGTAAAACTTGATAACCGTAAACAAATAATAATAAAATAACTGCCACTCACTTTATTCAGAACTTTTATCGTAACTTGTTACCAGTCATTTTATTGGATAAAGTGTAAAAAATCTTAACAATCTAAATAGTCTTATAAGCTGTTTTATTACTTCAGTATATGATTTTAGAAATGCTATACATTTTAATATAAAATTTATCTGAAGCCTGTATATTAATATATATATTTTAAATACAGAGTGATTATAATTAAACTTCCACTTTCAAAAGGATGTTAAAAAAAAAACTATAGGTCAGAATGACTTGAATATATATATGAAGTAACAGGAGTTTGTCTTGCAAAAGAAAAAAAAATAGTTCCAAATTTGATCAGTAGATGGCACTGTACTTGTCGTAATATGCTAATTAAAAAACATAATGTGCACACCACATGTTAGACGTCATAAAAACTTGAAGTGCATACAGTTCTCACTATTCTGCATCTGTTCATCATAGCTCATCATAGCTCTGTCAATATAGTTAATCATAGCTCATCATAGCTCTGTCAATGAAGGATCAGGCTCTACTTGCGAAGCTTTTTACAAATATAGTGACTGTGTTTCAGATTTTCTCAAGTACTGAACATGAATGGGATGAAGTTCTGGTCCAATATCTGCAATTCTGAGTATCAATGTAACTTTAGAGATGGAAATGAGCTTTGTTTGTTAACAAAATGTTCTATGGCCATGTACTGTCCACTTCCATCTGAGTAAGAAATTGTAGAGCGAAACTATGTCATATTGGCAAGACAGCTGGAAACAACTCGTAAACATCTCTAATTTTGAATGGATAGTATTGCAGGATGTTTTGTAAAATTTTAGGAGTCATGTTGATAGGCATTTCTAAAGATCAGTCAATTTCCCTAGTACCAGCATGTTCCACACCACTTCTAATACTTCTTGCAGTGCTGTAGCCTCATCTTCCTCTGACGTCAAAGCAGTTGCTTTCCTCCATCTCCCTCCCAGATCTCATGTCAATTAAATAGATTTTTTTGAATTTCTAAATCATTTTCCTCATATCCTTGATAGATATCAGACAAGGGCTGCATCTTATACCCATTAATGACCTGAAATTCTTCAGGACATTTGAAGCACAATCACCATTCTTGTAAAAATTCTTCACAAGCAGAGCCTGATCCTTCATTGACAGAGTCATGATGAGCTTCTCAGATGCAGAGTAAAGGGAACTGTAAAGGGATTTTAATCAGTTGGGAACTGCATTTACTCCACATTCTTATTTAATATGTGGTACACATGTTACATTTTTTAATTAGCATATTATGACAAGTACAAAAAGTATTTGTAATTTTTTTTTTCCTCCAGACAAATTCCCAGTTCTTCATGTATATTCCAGGTTATTCTAACTAATGGTTCTTTTTTTGCAACCTGAAATTGGGTATTTAATTATAATCACGCTATGTAGTTTTTCTCATAATGATCTTGCAATTAAATTGAAATGACAGCACAAATGTTAAATTAGTACTAAAATTAAAGAGAATTGTATAAGTCTTATATCATTAATCTTAGACTAAAATTAGTGTTTTATATAGTATTAGCTGTAATGTTAAAGTTGTGTTAATAACTGATTTTTATATCCCATCTTAAGGCATGCCAACATGTTTTCTACAACACTACTGATAACATGCTTTCTGTTGCATAGTGAGTAAATTTTTTCAGGCACGAATCAATGCTCATCCATTATGATTAATTATTAAGCATAATTTAGTACACTTCATATGATGGAATGGTGTGTCTCTTATTGCTTCTCCTCTCCATTTAGTGTATCTCTTAGAATTATGATCATTGTACTGCCCTGTAATAATCATGTTTTTTTTTATTCATAACTCACTCATTCTACTTTATTGTAACTGTGTTTCCCTAACCATATTTTATTAAATTACTGCTCTTCCAGGAGTAGAAATAAATGTAACAGGATAGACATCTACAATTTTCCTTTCACTAATCCTAATAGAAAGCACAACTGTAGTGTGAATGTTAATGACCATTCCACAACATCATGGTTTAATGTTCTTTTAATTTTAATCAGTTGGTAACTTGAATATGCATCTGGTATCAATAATGTGAACTGTATCTATTCTAAAATGGGAATTACTATTTTTCTAATTAAAAGTGAATCTTGTAGTATTTGTGTGCAGTGAAAATATTTTTAATCAGCTGTAATTTACCTGAAAATTTAATCAGCTGTAATTTACCTGAAAATTTACCTGAAATTGAAAGTACACAATTCCAAGGAATATTCTTTTCTTATTTCCTGGTTGAAATATCTGGTCAGTTTGGAAACTGGAATTTAGAAAGAAATAAATTTTCTGTAAAGCAGTATCGTTTATTATGTTTCATGTATCAGCTGTGAAATTAAAGTTGCTTTAATAATTGACTTTATCCGATTTTAACCCTTATGAGAGTAATTTACTCACGTATACTTCTAATTTCACAGTGAGTAATTTTTTTCATGCACAAACCTATGTTTATTCACTATGCTAAAGCATGTAAATACATTTCTGAATGTTTTGCAGATATGTGAGTAATTTACTCACGTATACTTCTAATTTCACAGTGAGTAATTTTTTTCATGCACAAACCTATGTTTATTCACTATGCTAAAGCATGTAAATACATTTCTGAATGTTTTGCAGATATGAATTGAAATAAAAATGGATTAAAAGTAAATTTAATGTTTTAGAAGCAAAGAATATTTTATAGAGATACTTGCAGATTGCTTTCTGTGTGGAGTATTTTAAAACATGGTGTTGCATGGTGCAAAGAAGCTTCACATTCTATGCAACGTGCAGTTCTTTTATGCCATCTTACTATGATTTACTCCGAAAAATATGCAGTCTTTATTTGGTTGTGTTCAGCAAAATTATTTGTAAAATGGCTGGCTATAAAAGTGCTGGTTTTGGTGTTTTTGATGGGTGACATATTGATGCTTCTTTGAGTGGAAAAATTGCAGGTAACTACTTACTCAAGAAAAGTAGAATGGATGGTCATGGTTTTGCCCCAAACACACTCTGCCTAGCTGATATCACATTTGAACACATCCATCAAATCCACTGTAAATAATTAAGAAACAAGATGAGTATATCCATCATAGCCACTTAGGGGTGTAAACTACTTTTTCTTTCGTAGTTGCCTTTAAACATTTGGTAGAATCTAGCATAATCTTTTCTGTAGACTAATTTTAGTTAGTAAAATTGTTAAGGTGTTTTTTTTTCTTTATATATATACAAGGGGTGATCAAATGAAAAGGTACAAAATGACACGGTGGGTCCAAATGTAGACTTTATTCAAAATATACACCATAGGCCTGAGCACAATGATCCCACTGATGAACAAGCCCCTGGATTCCTTGTTCCCAGAATTCCTGTGGCCGTGACGAGACCCAGTCCTTCACAGCGTCCTTGAGTACGTCGTCCGAGTTGAAGCGCTTTCCTTTCAGGTGTTTCTTCAGTGGACCAAACACATGGAAATCGCAGAGCGACATGTCCGGACTGTAGGCGGATGGTCCAACGTCTCCCACTTGAACTTGGCCAGTTCCATGTGTGTGACTCTGGAGATGTGTGGACACACGTTATCATGGAGCAGAACCACACCCACCGTGAGCAGCCCCAGTCTTTTGTTCTTGATGGACCTGCATAGGTGTTGGAGTGTCTCACGGTACACATCGGAGTTAATGATTTTTCTGTGCTCGAGGAATTCCACAAGTAGCGGACCTTGAATGGCGAAAAAGATGGTGAGCAACACATTGCCTGCTGACGGCACGCACGGCTTTGAACTTTTTAGGGGAAGGTGACGACGCATGCTGTCCCGCTTTGTCTCTGTCTCGTAGTGATGGCACCAGGTCTCATCACCTGTGACGATCCGCTTCATGAAAGCAGGGTCTTTCTGATACCGAAACAGATGTTGCAGTGTTATATACAAGGGGTTATATGCAGTTCCTTTTGCTGGTCGGTGAGCTGCTTCGGAACCCAAGCGGCACACACCTTCCGATAACACAACCTGTCGTGAACAATTCCCCACACGGTTTCATAGCTGACATCCACCTTCACTACCAACATTCGCAATGTGACACGCCAATCACTTCTCACTAGGTCATCCACCTTGTCGATGAGATCGATCGTGATGACAGTGTTTGCCTGGTCTGGTCTCGGGTAATCACTTACACTCTCACGGCCTGCACGAAAACAGGCACTACATTTTCTGACAGACTTGTCAGAGACACATTTCTCCCCGTAAACTGTCACTATCCGGCAATGAATAGCTGTTGGTTTCTCACCTTCAGCTGTCAGAAATCGGATAACACCTCGCTGCTCCTCAGTCGTCGAATTATGCAATGCGAACGCCATCTTGTCCTCATACGGACTGCCGCATCATTTGGACACGACTTTTGATAAGAGCCTCTGCTCTCTCCTATGCATGCGGGTGCCCGCACATGCTCCGATCCCAGTCAGAGACTGAGATTGCATCCCGAGATGTCTCGCTACGTTCTCCCATGGTGGAATATGCAAATATTTAACTGTTACATTTTTATGTCATTTCGTACATTTTCATTTGATCACCCCTTGTATATATAATGTTATTCTTTTCAGCAAAATAATGTTTTTTTTAGTTTCTGTTTCTTATTAGTATAGTTATGTAATTAGCTGTTCTTCCTCTGGATATGTGAACAATATAATAATTATTCTGGTAAATAATTTAAATATAAATTAAAAGTTTGAATGAAATAAAGCATATCTTATAGTCATTAAAATTCACTTTTGCTAATATCATTATTTTAACAATTGCTATTGAAAGATCATATTGTTCCTTTTAATTTTGAATTCGTTATATCAGCATTTTTTTTAACTGATATGTAAAGTCATTTCCTTAATATTTCAGGATTTGCAGGCACTCCAGGTTATCTTTCACCAGAAGTTCTTAAAAAAGATCCATATGGAAAACCTGTTGACATATGGGCGTGTGGTAATTTTTACTGATTATTTAAATATTTATGCAGTTTGCTTTTTTAATTCAATTACATTCAAAATTCCTTTAAAAGTCTATCTTATTATTTTTTTTCATGAAAAATATGAATATTTATGAATAAGTACATTTCACTGCTGTATGTTCATGCTAACTTGATTTATCTGATATCTATAGATATAATTTGGTATATAACTGATTCATATTCATGTTTATCGTTACTTTGTACACTCTATAACAAAAAAAATCGACACACTTAGAAGGAGTCATCCGATTGCTTTGAAATTTTGTATGCATAAATGTTTTGACCAAATATGCAAATGATTAAAATTCGGTGTCCAATGAATGAATAGTGCGATCTCCAGCGCATTGGAACTTCACATCCAGCAGATGTATATAAGGAGCTGTTCTTGAACTGATGTTAAAAATTTCTGTTGCATTGTGATTTAGGATATCTTCAACAACTGAAAAAATGCCTCGCCTCAGGATTCAAGCTCATTGCGAGCAACTGTCAGAGTTTGAAAAAGGTCATATCATTGGATTGAAAGAGGCAGGTTGGGCAAATCAGAGAATCGCTCGTCGTATGAGTCAAAGCAATGCTGGTTAGTAGAAGATACTAGCAAGAATGGGTGGCCAGTGGCAGATTTCAGCATTTATGATGTTACCAGTTGATCTAGGGCCACAACAGATCGGGAGGACTGAGTGATTGTCAGATCAGTTGTCACAGCGCCTGATTCATCACTATCAACCATCAGACGTGCAACCCGCACATGAATATGCACCATGACCATTCACAAAAGGCTGATAGAGTGAAATCTGTGCTCGTACCAACCGTTACATCGTCTGCACTCTGTTGAGCCAGATTACAGTGGTGCTTGGCTCAATCAGATTGGAATGATGCTGACTGGGGATGAAGTGGCGAACACCACTTCCAACTGTGTCATGACGATCATCGAAATGTGTCTGGAGTCACCCAGAGCAGCATGCCGATCCTGCTTTCACTCTTGCATACCACACGGGCCGTCAACCAGGAGTTATGGTCTGCGGTGCCATTTCCATTGATAACCGGACCCCTTTGGTCGTCATTAGAGGCACACTTATAGCACAGCAGTACGTTGACGACATTCTGAGACCTGTTTTTCTACTGTTACTTTTTCAGTACCTGGCCTTATATTTCAGCAAGATAATGCCAGACCACATACAGCACATGTTGCTATGAACTGTCTTACAGCTTGTAAAACACTGGCCAGCCAGATTGCCAGATCTCTCTCCCATCAAGCATGTCTGGAATATGATGGGAAGGCACCTGCATCTACCAGGGAATGTTGATGTCCTAGCCCGACAATTGGAGCATATTTGCAAGAAATACCGCAGGAGACCATCCAGTAGCTTTATCAGTCTATGCCACGCCGTGTGGAAGCTTGCATCTAGGCTAGAAGTGGGTCAACACCTTATTAAGCTTGTTATTTTGTAACTATGTAACTCTGAAATAAATCATTCTGAAATTTTAATTATTTTTTATTCGGTATATAATCTTCCTGTTCATCAATTTTTGTCTCCATCGGACAACTCCTTGGTGTACTGATTTCTTTTTTGTTATGGAGTGTAATAATGGTTTTTTTTTTTTTTTTTTCCTTTCTGAAGTCTTATAATTGTAGACTCCCCTCCTCAATAAATTCAAAAGTAGTTTAAGTGTGTTTTTAAATACATGTATATGTGCATGTATTGTAATTCTGACTTATAAAAGACATCTTTAATAACAAAAATTTCGTGTGCATCTTATTTCAGATGCAGTTGGTTATCCATATTCTCTTACCACAAACATTTTCTAAGAAATTTTACCAGCAAACTTTTAGTATATTTTAATAAAAAGGATTTTATTGAAATTTCAATTCAGATTTTCTTTACATGTTTGAAGCTGAAACTTTTGAAGCTCTGCTTTCAGATGAAAAAGGCTGAAATAGTACATTTAATTATTGTTTGCCTTTGATTAAAGGGTCCTCCTTCATAATTATATATCATGGATTCTAAGATAGTTCCTTTAAAAATTGTAGTTATTGCTTCTATGTTTCCTCTGTTATTTTTCCTTTCTCTTTCTGTTTTTGTTCTTCATTCTATCTTTTTTTCAATCTGCTGTGAAAATTCAAATTTTTGCCTCAGCAGCTATGTTAAAGACATCACAACATAAAGGTGATATCATATGACTTTTAATAGAAACCAACCTGTACTCTGACGTTTTTATTTGATTTTTATGATTTTTAGCAAGTTTCAAGGCAAAAGAACTTCAATTGGAATAAAATGAATTTTAATATAATAGTTAGAATAATTAACATTCATAGCTTTTGATTCATTTTGTTTACCTCCATGGTGGAAACTCTAAAATATTTTTTTATAAAAAGCACAAAATTTGCAATAAGCCAATGAACAAGCCGGTGATAATCTTTAATATATAAAACTGACATGATATTTGGCATAGAATGCCAATGAAATCCTGCTTTTCATATAATTTTGAAAATAATATTTACATATCTATCTGTGCATTCATGCACAATAAAACATCAATTTTTCGTATTTATATAAATCTTTCTTAATTATTGACAGTAAATTTAGTCTTTTTCAATTATGAAGAAAATTATGTGTATTTACATAATTTGCAATTTCTAAATAATTTTTAAATCGTGAAAAAGTAAAAATAGCCTTTGAAATGCAACTTTTATTAACGTGAAATATCCATGTCTATAAATAACTGTTATAAAAGTGCTTGTAATTCATTTTAATTAAGATGAGGAAAGTTCTTGAAAACTTCCAGTTATTAAATTAAATTAATTTTAATTTTTTATTTATTTCTTTTGTTAATGTTAATCTATTACTTTTTGTGAATTTGTGATAGTAATATTTCATTTTCAATGCATTAATTTTCCCCCTCCACTTTTAGGAGTTATTTTGTATATTTTACTTGTTGGCTATCCACCTTTCTGGGATGAAGACCAACACAGGTTATATGCACAAATCAAAGCTGGTGCTTATGATGTATGTTTGTTTTTATCCTTAGTATCACATTAAATTTATATAGTTCCTATTTTATGCTACATTTTTACAATAATTTATAAAAATAGTAAAAGATAAGAGTACTTAATTTTCATATAGAGAATACATGAAATTTTAAATTAATCTTCACTGCAAATTATTGGAGTGAGAACAAAAATATGTTATTGCATAAAGGTAGTTTGTAGTACAGAGTTGTTCTAAAATATGTAGATAAAAGGTATGGAAGACAAGAGAGAACCAATGTAAGCAGATTTTTATAATGAAAATATAGGAGCGATGAACACGGAAATATGGAGAATGGAAGCATTGTTGAAATTGGGAAGTAAAACTAATCTACTGATGTAAATCATTATTTTCCATAAGCATTTCAGGTGCACTGCAATGCTACATAAGAGCTAGTTAACGAGATTGGGAAGTGAAAGCAATCTGCTAATGTAATACATTATTTCCCATGAGGATTTCAAATGCTCTTGCTACACAAAGGCAGAAATACCTAACATGCATTTATCTATAGGTCTGTGGAGCAGTTGTTCAAAGAATATACAGAGAAAGATTTCTGAGTATGCAGCTTCTAAGCTACCATATATTCAAACACATTAACTAAGAGTTATGCGAGAGTGAATCATTCCATGCTTGCAGGTATGCTTTGGGCAAGGAAGGATATCACAGAACTAGTGCAGTGGAAGCAGCTGTAATATTAATATGTACATTTGAGGATTATCCTGCTACAAGCACAAAAGACATTGGATGAATGAAATGCATTCGTATCATTCAGGAGCAGATTATGGACAAGCTCTTTGAAAATCCTATTAATTTTGTTGAAGATATAGTGTTCAGACTGTCAGTGGTTGCTGGAAATGAGTTTGAAATGCTCAAGATCTTTGTCAATATGCAGCAATCCATATGCTGCACTTTGAGTTTTGCATTACAGTTGGTAGCTGCACTTCCAAGCACCTACTGTAAAAAATTGAGTAATCCCCTCATTTTTTAAATTTTAGTGGTGCTTTTTATTTGCCTCTAATTCATACCTTCCTTGCACCATTTCTACACACACATTCTGTTATAAAATTGCATATTTCAGTCCCCTCTGCCTGTCTTGTATTTTTCAGGGATGATTGTAGTCCTTTTTTACAAAGTGCTTACTTTTTGAATACTTATTAAAAATCATCCTTTATGTTAAAACTGAAACAAATGTTATAGTGTTAGTGAGAACTGTAGTTAATTTCATAATATGAAAATTATTAAAAATGGGCAAAATATTGCAGTTTGCTAAAAATAATCATATAAAATAAGAAAATGTGATAGACAAAGAATGATTTTCAGCCAAATTAATCATAGTAATCATTCAATACTATAACAGCATAATAAATAATCTAAAGAATTATCACTAAGGTGCTCGTTAAGATGATTCCTTTCTAGTAAGCTGCTAATGATGATGGGTATAGGAAACAGCTAATGTGTCATTTTTAGTTAATTGTACTTAAGCACATTGAGATTACTTCTGGCTTACTTGTTAATGGTTGGTTTTCATGTAAAAATTTTGATAGTTACTTTTTATTAAGCATACAAAGATCCTTTATTTTATTAAAGTGTATTTTTCTTAAAAGAAACTGTAGATAAATTAACTTAGATTTACATTGCAAAACAGAAAAAAGTGCCACATATTTTATTAAATCAGTATAACTTTACATCAAAAGAACATTTAAATTCATTTATGATAAAGAAATAGGTGATTTTTTTCTCTTTTATTTTCATTGTACCCAAAAAGTGCTAATATTTTAAATTGATGCTCATTTTTAATTAATTGTACATCATTTTTAATTACCAAATATAATTAAATGACTTTTTAGTATCCATCACCTGAATGGGATACAGTTACTCCAGAAGCAAAGAACTTGATAAATAGTATGTTGACAGTAAATCCAGCCAAACGAATTACTGCTAATGAAGCCCTTAAACATCCTTGGATTTGTGTAAGATTTAAATTTTAATCCATCTTTAAAATCATAATATTTTTATCATTTATTTTGACTGCATTTTCAATGTTATATTCTATGTTAATATAATTCATTTTGAATATCTTGAATGTATTATTGTATCATTTATATAAAAGCATAAAGTTTATGACAATTTAGAAAATGCATAGCACTTTTACAGTTTTCAACATTAACAAGTATTTTAGAATGGTCACTTTATGGTGATAAAATTATTCTTTATGTATTATTTTCATATATTTTAATATTAAATCACAAAAAATATTAAAATAGATGTAGATCTGTTTTTTTTTTTTTTTTTTTTTTTTTTTGTCTGAAAATATATAGTACTTTCATTTTTGCAACGAGAGCGTGTTGCATCAACACTGCATCGTCAAGAAACTGTGGACTGCTTAAAGAAATTCAATGCACGACGTAAATTAAAAGTAAGTCTGTTTGTTTTCAACTTGTGTTTTTAATTTATTGTTAATGAAATCTAGCTCTTAATTTTCTTCTAAAATTTTTATGTAATTTAAATGTGTTTTTGAAAATGACTAAATTAGTATGAGGTTGGATTATTGCTTTTATTTCATAAGTTTTTGTTAAATACAATTGATCCTTTTAATTTCTGTGTGTTAGAACAGTATTCAAGTATTTAATTATCTTTGCTTTCCATAATTTTCTTGAGAGTGTTTCCAACATATAGAATGTTACTAACATTGTTTTTTCTTTTGATGTATTTTAAATTAATTTTTTATGGAAACATTGCATTCATTTTAACTTCCCATATGAAATTATTTATGGTTTCAGTGTTCAGCTGAAGTTCCAAAATTTAGTGAACATTCAGACCCAAAGTACTTTAAAAAATTTTTGTATTCAGCTTATGAATAATGCATGATAATCGGCAAGCAAATTGTGTCATTATGAAAAATAAGTAGCATAATAGCCCATCAGCATTGCAAGAATAAGACTGCTAAACAATAGTAGTTTAACCTGGTAAAGTCTCATGTGCATGACCATTTTTGTGGTTTTCCCTATTTGTAACACAGACCCGGTTTCTACTGCCAAAAAGGATAGCCTATGCTATCCTGGATGGTAGTAGCTTAGGTTATCTTAGTGGGTCAAAGATAGCTTCTTCAGTAAGCTCCCCCATACATTATGGTTTCTGTGGCCCTGGGAAGCTATTTCAGTGAGGGTGGTTTAAGAGAGAGTTTAAATTTAAAAAACTCTACTGCTGAGGATTGAGAACCCACAAGCATACAGTTAATGATAACACAATGAGATATCCTTATTGGTTAGATTTCCCTCATCTAATATGGAGCTATGGGTTGGTTCATGTAATACCTTAAATTAATGTTGGCAGATTACATTTACTGATATGACTTTCCCTATTTGTAACAAGAATTTAAAGTAATTTCCCTCAGAATGTCCTTCACAAGGGCATGTCTTCTGTTAAGCAGATAGGCATTGTGTACTTCACTACAGTCTAATATAATAAATCCATTCTGCTCCGTTATGCCCTCAGTGTCAAAAAAAATTCACATACTTAGGAAAAATATTTAACAGTTTTGAAATGTACCAATATAAATATAGTAAAAGGTACACTATCTGTCACTCAATTAACCAGAAAGTTCAAGTAAGCGGATGGTTTTCAAATTTTTAGAAACTTTTTTAAATGCAAAATTAAGCAAATAAGAGATTTGTAATTCTTATAAAGCAGTAATAGGACTACAATTCGAATCTCATAAAGCAAGAAGAGGTCTACGATTTGAATCAAACAAAAACTATCACCAAACAGTGTATTTAGTGCCAATAATAGATAAATGTGGTGTAATGCTTTGTCTTTATGTGATTCCAATGAATTCTTGATATGTCGATTAAATATTTTTATAAAAAGATATAAGTTGATTACTTTTTATGTGTTTTCAATCTTATTTTAAAAAAATTATGACAATTTAGGCCTTGTCCTCAAAGGAATAGTATATTTTCAAATTTATGGTATCCTGGCATCAAGAAAAGTGCAACTTATATGAAAATGGATAAACGCATGTTATGTTGCACAATGGGAAAAATTATGACAAGCGATTTAAGTGTTTTATATATTATGCCTACAACTTGTATATATTGACTGAATAAAGAGTAACATGTTCCTTCAAACATCTGCCGCAGTGACCAGCATTAAGTTTGGCAAGATCTGTGCCAATTTTTACGGTCAACGGAGTTTCATAATCTAATGTGTTTTATTTCTGTGTTTATATCTGCAGTACCCTTTTTTCTTTTGAATCTCACATAATTTAAATGTAAGTGTTTAATAATCAAATTGATAACAAAAAACGAACTCTTTGTATAATTTTAGACTGCAATTTTTTTTGTTTTCATTCGTTTGGCTTTTCTACTGTTAATTGCATTTGCATTTTTTATATGCTTATTTATCCAGAATTCGGCATATCTGAAGCTTTCCGGATTGCCAAGTTTTTACAGTATCTCTTAACCAGACATGCAACTGATAAAAGGTACACAAATAAAATCGCAAGTGGGTATAAATGTGCAGAAAATGCCACTCCAAAACTCAGCAAAATGCATTGCTGGGCTGTTATGTTATTCAGAATTCTTATATGGTGGTGTTTAGAAATTGAGAATCCCTGAAGACCAGCAGATTATGTTGTGCAAGCATATGAGTGACCATTATTGCTATCAGGGAAGTGGACTCATTCTACCAATAATAAATTACCCAGCTGAAGGGTCAGAGGGAGAAAAATTGTGAGTAATTCTGGCAGGACATCTGTAACTATCATGTGGGCAGTAGTAGTGAGAGCTTTTGTAAGTTCCCTCACAACTTATTTATCCATCATTCAGAATCACTTACCCTCATCATCTGGGCATGCAATTTCATGAAGCACTTTTGCAAGAAAGCTGTGCGAAGACTGATCTTCATTATCAGTATGTAACTTCTAACACTAATTCCTGTTTATCAGTAGCAACATTTATTCTGATGTCATTGTCACAAAGCTTGGATCAGATTGGAGCTGTATCATGTTCAGTTGTCAATCACAATTTTTATTTGGCTCAAATTACCAAAGAATTCATAAATTATAATTCATAGCATTGATCCCTGCTCTGTTCTGCTTTTCCCACATAATTTTGGAGCAGGCATACATACATCAGGATTGGTGTTACCATTTGCAGGGTCTGTGCATACATCACTGTGTCACATGTGATCTGTATTTGCATTCTAATAGCCTAACAATAAAATGATGACGTGATGGGACCTTTTTTTTTTTTTTTTTTTTTTTTTTTTTTTTTTTTTTTTTTTTTTTTTTTTCTAATGCTGTTGCATCAGTCAAGGATTATCTTTTAAGAAGATAAATGCCTGCTTGTGCACTACAAATTTCTCTCATGGAATGTCTGCAGTGCCTCATAATTATTCTCTGACCTGCAGATTTACAAGCCTCTGCCGAAACAAACCTGTAAATGACATGTTATAACCGGCTAATGATATTTACTTTTAGATATCATAAATGATTTATAAAGTTTTAGCACCAAAAAACAAACTTCTTTTTAATGTTTTCAATTAAAACATTTATAATTATTTCCTCATCAGAATATTTTACTCTTTTTAGGGTGCCATTCTCACAACTATGTTAGCAACACGAAATTTCTCTAGTAAGTATTTATTTGCGGTTTAATTACTTCATCTTTGAAAAGTTCATTGTTATGAAACTGCAATGAATGCAAAATATTTTTTAAATAGTCTTATAATACTTATCCTTTTAAAAACTTTTATCAGCAATTAGCTATCTCCATCTTAAAGGATTAGTTCTTCAGAGATGTTATTAATGCATTTAATTATTTGTATAAAATTAAAAAGTATTTTTATGTCAGATAGTTATCTGCTTATATACAGTCAAAAGTCGTTAATTCGGACACCCATAATCCGGACTTCAAAGCTACAAACTTTCTGCGCATGCGTCGTGTTGACGCATGCATGTAAGACCTTTACGGCTGCGAATATGCATGTGCGCATGCCCATAATATGTTTACTCATGTGCGTTTAATGTATAACGAATGGTATAAGCTAAGCTAAAATTATCTAATTCAGTTAATGTTGCAGATTGCGTTGTTCCTTAATCTTCGAATTGGATCTGGCTTATTATTTTTTTCAGACTGTTAGGGCAATTTTATAAAAGTAAGCTTGAACTTTCGATTATGTCAAATAGAGTTTCCGATATATATTTACTAATATGTAAAGAGTTCTCAAAGCAAAAGTATATTTCGAAGTCCATTAAACAAAAAGTGGAATTCCTGCAAAAAATGGATAAAGGCATATCCTTTGTTTCTGTACCCATTCCGAAATCTGTTTATCAATTTCACACTGCTCGGGGGGGGGGGGGGGAACGCCGCTGCACGCAATGAATTGGAAGTTGATCTGCCAGCACTGTCCTTATCTTCATTCAGCTTATAATTCCTTACTAAATGTAGTATTTCATCTCGATGTACTCCGTCTTTGATATGATTTAAATCAAATTTCTCGTCATTATAATTCGCTTCCGATAGTGAAGAAAGTGGCACTCAGCAGTGTTCAGAGATTATTGAAAACGAAAAAATTTCGATTGACAAATTAGTCGGTATTCTCGACACAGCAATTATAGGACTTGAACAGCGGAACTTTGTAACTGAACAAGAAATTATGTCTGTTTATAGAATTAAAGAGGAAGTATCATCACATAAAATGAAGCAACTTAAACAACTTACAATGAAAGAAATGTTTAATAAAGTAAACAAATAAATATTAAGCTTTTTGTGTGTGTGTGTGTGTGTGTAAATTTTGATACCCTTTTGATCATAATTCTTCTTTATTTCATAAATTACAGTTTCATATTTTTAATTTTATAATTTCTGCATGCCATATTACCAGATTTAAACTGATGATCTATAATCCGGAAAAACTGATAATCCGGAATCGCCGAAGTCCCAACGAGTCCAGATTAACGACTTTTGACTGTATATTTTTTGATTGTTTAATATCATACAGAAATTTATCACTGAATGTTAAAATTGATAGTATAACTTTAATTTTATTTCTGGATTGAATCACCTTTGCTTTATTCCTGTTATCAAAGTTTTTATTTATATGCATATAGTGGACTCTTGATTATCTGTCAGTCTTAAGATCGCAGTTGTCACAGATAAGAAATTAAATAAATAATAAAAAACTCTTCCCTCTACCACCAAATATGGACAATCAGGAATAAAAATCCATTTTAGCACATTTTGTTTAATGTAGATAAACTCTAAAATGTTCTCTAACCACAACAGTATATGTTTCTTAGATTGCTAACTGACCAGTGGCCGGGTTGCTGAATACTGGTAATTTCACCTAGTTCGATCTAAGGTGAATGGGTTGGGGTTTTCTCCATGTGTTCATTTCTCCATGTGTCATGTGAATTTTTTCTGAGAAAAGTAAAAATGAGAACTTTTTCTTAGACCTTCCCAGTTTTCCTAAGAAAGCTTTCCACAAAAGCATCTTTCCTCTTAAACAGATAGGCTTTGCTATATTCAAATAACTTGACGTAATCTTTGAGTGTTCTAATTTTCAACTTAGTTTTATTTTTTAATCTTTTGCAGTAACTACATAAGTGCAATGGAAAATATGATGCATCATAAATATCAAAATTGCATAATTTTGAATGAAAAATTTTTTTCAGCATAGTTTTATCTCACAACTCTTGTATTCTTTTAAATAATTATGTTTTATTGTACATTATAACTTATTAAAAAAAATTTTTCAATTCTTTGTTGTTTGGTGAATTCATTATGTTCAGTGGACTGTCAAAGTGTGTATCTGACAGATAATAGACACTGTCAGCTAAAAGAATGGTAATCAAGTTTGCATTGTATTTTCTACTGAGAAATGAATTTCTGCTTTCCATAACTGTAGTTATGGAAAGTAATACAGTCTTTTAATTTATAAAGTTTTTCTAAATTAATATTTTTTTATGTCTGAGGAAATATTTTCTATTGGTGTTTTTGCAACTTTAAATTTTTAATTAGTCCTCAAACATTTTTTCTTCCATTATCGTAAATTTTGGTTGCTGGAATCTAATGATAAAAAATATAAATTTCTGAGTTTAATACTACTTTTTTTAATAGCTAGATAACATTTCAAAATGCAGTAGTACACATCATCTTTTCAGAGTTTTTCTGCTGCTTAATTAGTTTGAAATATCCCAAAACAGCCTGGAATTAATCACCTTGAAATATTTCTTGATAATTAATTTTTTTTCTTTTCAATGGCGAGGCACTTGCTGATTAAGCCTTGATCAGGAATGGGCAAACCCATCACCTCATTAAGAACACTGCTGAGTTATTGTAGAAAATAATTATAAGAGTTCTAGTATTTTAGAAAGCCTAGATTTGTGACTTTAGAAGTTATTTTAAATTCAAAATAAATTTTATTATGAGAATATATTCTCATTCATATTTGTATTCTGTTCTGTATAAATTCTCATGATCTTATCTTTATTTTTAAGGTTGTTGATTATATAATTTTTCTTTAAATTATATAATCAACAACCTTATTGAATTGAGCTATTTGCTATCATTCTTGTTAATTTTTTTTTAATTTTTACAATTTCTTACAATGTTACCATTTTTTAATTTTGATCATCAAAGATTCCTTTATGTTTGTCAGTAAAATTTGTAATTATAATTTTTTATTTTGTTTCAATATTCAATGTTTTTTTTTTTTTTTTTTTTTTTTTTGAATTGACTTATTCTTTAAAAGATTTAATAAAATATCAGAGAAATTCTTTAATGCTATAAAATTCAGCACTTCTCTAAAAATATTTCCTTTTTCTTATTCCTTGGAATTTTTTTAATATTTTGTTTATATTTATTGATGGCATTTATAAATTTAACATTGGTCTTAATTACATACTTATGATTTGTTTTTTTGTGCCTGTTTGTTATATAAATGTATATTACATGTGTGTATATTATATTACGTAATACATTTATTATGTAAGCCATAAATAAAGTTTGCTGTCATATAACAATGTACTGCTTTGATGCATTCCTTTGGGGAATTTAACAAACTGGATTATTTGCCTGCCAGTTTCTGCGATCAGAATTCATAACGTGGTATTAAACTAGGTAGTTTGCTTTCTTGTATATAAATACAAAGTCATTTTTAGAGATTTTACAAGTATTTTGATTCAAATAAATATTTATTCAGTATCTATAATATGTTTAAGAATGAAGCAATTAATCTGTAATATATTTATAAACACATAAATTCTAACCAGTTGGTTATTTAGTTTAAATTCTGTTAAAATTATCGCATTTTTATTACATGGAATGAAAAAGTGTCAATGTATTTACCTATTTTATTATTAGCTTTTTTCTTTAGTTTACAACCTCTTTTTAGTATTTATTAAATTTTTTACTTGATTTTTCTGTTTTTAATTTCTACTTCTTTTATCAAAACTTTCTTCTATGGATTACATTTGTGTTATCTTTGCTATTCTGATGTTTTATCTGACTTTTAAATTGATTAATTTAAAAATTTTTCAAAGTCTGATTTTGAAATAAACTATATTTCCTTGTCATTTCATCTTTCTCTCACACAATCACTATGCTTGCATTGGCACTTGGTAAACAGTCATTTCTCGAGGTAATTAGCAAATAATTATCCTGCTGCTTTATAGGCTTTAGATGGCAGGCTCGTTTTACCTCGTTGCACCTTGCTTTATTTGTAAATATATGTCTTTATATTATTCATATATATGAATATAATATATATTTATTTGTTTTAAATAATTTCAGAATGCTCTGATGTTATATCTATTTGTTATTACTTGCGCTTGTCATGCTTTTAGATAATAAATTTATTAATATTTTCATATTTACTTCTTTTAAGACTTCTATGTATTTATTTTTAAAATATATGTACTTTTTAAAATAATGAAAATGACAGGCAGTGTAATAATTTGGGGGAACAAAATACTGTTTTTAGTACTTTCCATCTATGCATGACATTTTAAGCATGTTCTTCCCTATTTTATCCATTTTTACAATTTTCATGCTTTACCTGCAGGCCATGTAACTGCTCCAAACCAAGGTAAACAGTTTTGTTCACTTACTATGTTCGAGGGAAAATAAGTAAATGCTCAGCCATGTGTTTGATAAAAATTAAATTTTACTTTCCGTTTAGTAAAGCCATGTGTCCATTAAAACTTTTATATTAATGATGACTTGGATATGTATAAACTATAATTACAGACCAAACCAAATGAAATTATAAATAAAAAAGAATGGAATATATGTATTAAAATGCAATCCAAGACGATTTTGCTTTTCAAAATCATTTCTTGTTTACATTTAGACTGATAAATAACTGATAAGACTGATAATTGCATTAAAAGACATTCTCCACTGAAATAACTGGTCATTTTCCAACTTCTGGTTTTAGAAAACTAAGAAATGCAGATTTCAAATTCTGGCTTTTAAAATATTTTAATGCTGTCTGAACCAAAATATGATTAAGTAGCTGAGTTTCAAAGAGAAATATTATTGAGTTTATCTACCAATTCAAAAAAAAAAAAATAATAATAACAATAATATTGATTTGAGAGCAGTATAGAAAATTTGATATTTAAATGTTTGGGTAATAGACATATGGCAGCATATTGGAAATAAAATACCAGTTTTTTAAACTTTGTTAAAAGCATTAAGTCATTAATACAATAAGAATGGTTAAGCATTAATACAATGAGGATGAAATTATAATTTTTTTTTTTTATATGAGAGGTTTTAACAGCTGCTAAAGTACCCTTAAAGAGTAATATAGGCTTTCATTATGGTTTTCATAGTTCCTTCATTAGACAGATTTCCCCCCTCCAGTGTTCTAAAAAATGTGCAGCATTTTATGATGGAGAAATGGGCACTTTTTCAACTGCATATGTATGTGTGAGAGCAATAGAGTAAAGACCGAATTATACTATACTTAATAAATCATGTTGTTATCTTTTATTTCATATCAAATGTTTATAACTTCTGTATAGAGCACTATTTATAGGTTTCAATCAATCGGACTTTTTAAGAACTATACATGTTGAAATGATTTCATATAGGTCACATACTGATGCTCTACAAAAGCTACTAAGGCTAAATTCAAGTTTTAATATGGTTTTAATATGGTTGTTGGCAACACTGTTGTGAGTGGTGCCTTTTCCGCTACCACATAAGGACACAGGCCCTTCGCTCGGATGCTCAATCTTGGCTTGGCAGCCATTCTAAATGGAGCTCCTGATAAACGTTACCTCCAAGTGCGAAGTGCGCGCAGTTATTCGATTTTTCAAATCAACAAAGGCGTTAAACCGGTTGAAATTCACCGCCTATTGACGGAAGCGTATGGATAGTCCTTGCATGGATGTCAAAAACGTTTCGCAGTGGTAGAGAGTTTCAACCGGTTGTACTGAAATTCATGACAAAGAAAGGAGCGGGAGGCCGTCAATTGCCGACGAGACAATCGCGAAAGTTGAGGAACTCATGAGTAAAGATCGGAGGATCACTCTGGATGCTCTCTGCATTTTGGTTCCTGAGGTTTCCAGAAGCACCATCCACAGTATTTTAATGGAAAAGTTACAATATCGGAAGGTGTGTGCAAGATGGGTGCCACGTATGCTGACAAAAGACCACGAACGGCAACGGGTTGATTCTTCCCGCAAATTTCTTCGCCGCTATGGTTCTGCTCTGATGATGAGGTGAAAGATGAGGTTCAACATTTCCTGAAGGGCATGGCGGCAAGCTGGTATGACATGAGCATTGTAAAACTGCCACAGCGTCTACAAAAATATATCGACCGAAATGGCGATTATGTTAAAAAATAAAGCATTCTTCAATCTTTAAAGTGATGTAGCAATTATAGAAAATAAACGGTTCTTTGTATATCTAAAAATATAGGAGACCTTTTTTTGGGGATTGACCTCGTAATACAAAAAAAAGTAAATGTTAAATATCAAAACTTATAGAAAATAATCTAAGACACAACATATTACTGGAAACTAACAAAAATTACATAGGGGTGATAGGTTTGAAAGCAGATCATTTAAGTAAAAAAAGCTTCTAAAATGTCTCCTGTTAAAGAAAGCAAGAATTGCATCTTGAATTGATGTAAATTAAGATAAAACATTGTAATACTGTTGAATTAAACTTTTTACTTTTACACTGCTAAGGAGGACTACTGACTGGGAACAAGCCCATGCATTATGATGTCCACCCTGCAGAAGCCATAACGGCATTTATTGAGTCTAAATTAAAAAAATACCTTGAATACATATGACATTCTTGATTGCATGGATTAAAAAAACACTTAGGAATACAAAGCTGCATTGATACAAAACTGGTAAGCGTAAAACAAAAACAGTAAAATTCAAGACAAACAATGGAATTTCAAGCCTGCAGTTATACATCACACTGACTTACTATTATACAATTATACACTTGATAATTCCACACATTACTAAAAAACATATTATTCAATATATTACTAGAATACTGAACAACACACTGACATAGTAAAGCTGATACTACAAATAAAACACACCATATACACTGCTCGTATCAGAAAAGTACACACTGACATATTAAAGCTGATACTACAAATAAAACACAACATATACACTGCTCGTATCAGAATAGTAGACAATTCTGTACATGATGCTGTACTGTAATGCTAAAACAAATCAAAAGAACACTAGACAATAACCTTTGGAAGCAGTTACAGTGATAATTAGGAAGATAACATAGTTAGAATACTGAGTCAATTCAAAACATTAAATCCAGCAATACACTTCAATATGTATAATGTTGAATTAAACTGAATTTGTTTCACTTAAAAATCCAAACTTAAAAACAAAATGAATGTTTACTTCTGTAAGAAAAAGAAGAGGTTGTAATTTGACATAGCCTTTTACAGCATTTTCTGTTATCTTTTAAGGTTTGTCTTAGTTCATTGCTCTGAGTACTAAATATTTAAGCATTTTAATGATAGTACCTGTGTGCTTATATATATGCTTTTATATAATTTTAATGCATGTGTAAAAACTATGGGGCTTAAATATAGCACACTTTGTAATAAGTTGTGATAAAAAAATTGATTAAATTTTCTCTTGTCAAGAATTTCATTGGCTATTGATTGTTATGACTGCTTTCACAGGTTAGCTTTTCTGAGGATTTTAGGTAAATGTCTTGTAAAATAGCTGTTTGTCACAATAAAATTTGTCATTTAGAATAAAATTTTACATCTTGATGAAGGGAATAAAATGTGTACAATTTTGGTTTTACGTAACATACTAGGAATCCCATTAGAGATGGTAAATTCAGGCAGTGCTAGCCTATGGATATTAAATATTAATTAAAATGAAAAATTTAAACTAAATATATATATCTGTTTCTCTTTCTTTCTCTATATATATAATATCTCTCTTTATATATATATATATATATATATATATATATATTATATATATATAGTTTTCACCAGTTATATCAGTTTAAAATTGGTAAACCAAGCATAGTTTCTGAATTGGCTGTCAACATGGCTGAAGCATTTAATTCTGTTAATTATAACTTATGCCTAAAAGAAATTGAACAAGATTTTCATGAAATACTTTGTTGATTTTTATTCTTGTGTCTTGCTGCCCTCTCTATTTCTTTGTAGGGAAAAAAGGATGGGAGCATTTTTATGTATTTTTTCTGCTGTTACTATTAAACATTTTTTAAAGAAATTGCAGTATATTCTGTAAAACTTTTCAGCTGTAATGAATCTTTTGCACATGTACAGATATGCACTGAGTCATAACTTTCACTTGACATGAGCATATAATGACACTCACTCACCAGTTTGTAGCTATAGATAGAAATATTTCCTTCCCAACTTTATGTTGCATATTTATGCATGAATATATGTGTTTCATAGTGAATGCATAGTTTTTATATCTGCTAGCTATTCTGCATACCATTATGTGTACTTTTTTGTGTACAATATTATGTTTAATGCATGCCAAATTTTGAAATGTACAGATTTTAATAGTATGTTTGTGTGTTACAGAAAATATGTTTACTATTTAATGCTTTTGTTTAAATTATTAATGAGTGTCATTCATTTTGATAAAAATCTGGCTACTTAAAAATATTTTTCTTTAGCATCAAAAATGATATTTTTATAAAATTGTAATTAATAAATTTTCCATAATAATTTTTTTAAATTTTGATTTCTCAGAAACAGTTAACTTTTTTAATCTTAAATTTATAACAATAATAATATGCACTTTTATTCAAAAAACTAGTTTGTTTTATTTTTCTGTTAACATAGCATTAACATTAATGCGATGAGTACATCTAATATTTACTGTAATGCATTATTCATTCTGATAGAAAGATAAATATTTTTTTAAAAAGTATTTGGAACTTAACTATCATCAGAAAAGATTTTCTAGACACTATCATAAATCATTTTTTAAAATTTTATGATTAACTTTGTTGTTTTTAATTTTGTTGGATTAAAATAATGAATCATATGCAAGATAAAACAAGCCTTAAAATAAATCTTAGGTGAGCATGTAGTTTAAATTGGATAAATGAAATGACATTTTACTTACACTTTGAAAGCATGTTTTTACTTAAAAATTTTAATGCAGGCATAATGTCTGCTTAAAAAAAAAAAAAAACGAAAGAAAGAAAGGGAAAAAAACTATCAACAGGCTGATACCATTCTAGTCAAAGGTGAAAGATAACTTGATTCAACAAGATAAAGAAACACTCATATGTCTTTTTAAACTATGAACAATGACTGCCACTGATTGAAAAAGGTCACAGTGAGTTAAGAACAACTAAAACAGCACTCTTCCATTTAGATCTTTTAAAAAAGTGAATATTAATTATGTAGCTAATAGTAGGAAACTATTTCTTCTCTATATGTAAAATTACTGTGTTGGATGTATGCTTATGCATAAAACTTCTTTACTGTTACTAGTTATTTTCAAACCAGTGCTGCTAGTTACCTCTTATTTTCAAACTCCAATTTGAGTTTGATAAGGAGGGAGAGCATTTTTTTTTTTTTTTTTTTTTAATCTCAATTAGATTTTATTTTCATATAATGTCATGAGATAAGACTTTTGAAGTATCATTAGTATTTCATGAAAGAATTGCAACTTAAAAACTCTACTTCTTTCATGAATTATCATGATAAAATAAAGATTCAGGAAATGTGTTAGTGAATTATTTAAGTAATTTAATAAATTTATCATAATTTTTACAAAATATGTTATATTAAAATATTCTTATAAATATTCTAGCTTGATTTTTACTGTATGGTTTTTAATAAAAATATTTATAAGAATGCCTTTTATGATATATGCATATTTGCTTCATAAATTTCATTTGTAAACTCTGGTAAAGCATAAAATAATATTCTACCGTCATTATGTATTTTAATCTATCAGAACTCAAGCAGGTCATATGAAGAAAATAAATTAATCACAGTTGCCTTTATAACCTGTGAAATTTTCATTTAACATACTAACATTATGATTTCAGTTTGAATTCATTATATTAAATTTTTATTACAGTCTGAGACTAAATATTAATTAACATTTTGTAAATACCAAATTTTATTATTAATGAATGATATTAGTATTGTGTAGCCTAAAATGATTTTCTTGTATTTTTGTGTCTTATAAAGCATGTATTTATAGGTTTGATTTTGTGCATGCTAAATTGAATGCTTTGTTGTCGCATGTATTTATGTATATTTATTTCTTGTGATTGTATAATAATATATATGTAGCTGAAAATGAATAAGTTATAAAATTTGCCCTCCCCTAATTTCCTATAATATTAAATTAATTTTTCCTAAACTTGTGCTCTGTTCTTTCTTTCTGAATTCTACAATAGTAGAAAATATATTAAAGGAATTAAATTGTTATTTTAGCTCTAGCATTGAAAAGCATACACAATTGACAACAAAAATAATCATGTTTTTCTCTTTTGAGAGACATACAGAAACAATTTTTTTTTTAATTTAATATAATTATTTTGTTAAATAGTTAAAAGTCAATATGCAAAACTACTACTGAACCTTTCTTATCCTGTTGAACTATGTTGATATTAAATTCTTTTTTTAAGACGTGTAAAATATTTCATGTATTTTCTCACTCTCTATCTGAATGAATGAATTTTATCCTCTAAAGCTTATGAATTAGCCCCAAATAAATTAAAAGCGAACTTTTTATAATGAATTAAAGTGATTTATTATAATTAATTGAATTCATGTTCATACAGAATTTCTTTCATAAACTTCATTTACCAGTTTAAACTTTTCCCATAATTAAAATCACCATGCATTTATAGAAGTACATTATTTCTATTTTTTAATTCATTAAAATGTTAGTAGTTAAATCTTGATCCCTTTCTGTCCTTTTTCACTCCTCCTTTCTCTTGTAATTCTTTTAGAAAACTTTTAGTCTACATATTTTAAAATTCCTTTTAGGTCGAAGTATTATGGCAAAAAAGGGAGAAGGCTCTCAAGTAAAAGAATCAACTGACAGCAGTACAACTTTAGAAGATGAGGATGTAAAAGGTTTGTTTTAATGTCATCCTGTTTATTTCACAAGTTTGTATGATAACATTATATAAGAAAAATATAAAATTTGCACATCATCAAAGAATTTCATTTTCCTTTTGAGTAGAATTTACGGGTAGGATTACTAACAATGTGCATTTGGCTTGCAGATGAAGAGGATTTATTTATTTATTTATTTATTGAATACAGTTTTGACTTTCTAAAAATTCAAGTTTTTTCTCTTTCTATTTAATATCAGGTTTTTTTTTTCTGTATGCAAGCAATTGACTTTTGTCCTTGTATTATGTAAATATCAATCAGTTTCTTCAACGAAATCTTCATTGAGGGGATCTTCCTGAGGCAGGTAGTCCTCATGTGCATAACCAGTTAACGATCATCAAATATTGGTATCTGATACTTGTGTTATATAAACTAAAAGAATTTCTGTATAGCCTTTTGATGGTCATCAATGAGCTCAGCTCGCATTCCAGTTATGCACCACACTGGGCACAAATGAACACAACGCACATTACAAATTTATGACAGATAGATATTACACATATCTGGGAAGAAAGAATTACTTAATCTGGCAACCGATGAAGGGGTAAATGAGATATTCAAAGTCAAACTTCTAAAAATGATTTCTATTGAGTTTATAATTTTGCATTAATATTATAGATTTATGTTCCCTTTCAGCATAAACCTGTAACAGTGATATAAATGTGCTCATAGCACTTATCGAAACTGCAAAGTAATGTATTTCTTGTGGCATTTTAAGTGACACCATATCATTTTTAACCTCTTTTGACTGAAACTAGAATGTTTCAATAATTCTTAAGAAAGGTTGGAAGACATTTGAAAGAAAATTGGTAAAAGCTCAAAAGTTTGAGAATTGCTAAATGCATGTAAATTCCAGATAGTTGAGTGCATAAAAGGTGCAATTTATGGTAAAAGAACAAAATGAATAGAAGAAATTTTTTATCTAAAATTATAAAATAGTCATCTTATTTGTTATCGGATTTAATATCAAAAGTCTACATTTAAAATTGTAAGATTTCGAAAGGAAAATGCATTTCACCCGTAAAAGTTGTATTTCATAGATTTTTAAACGTATGAAAGTAAAACATCTTGTTCAATTATGAAATCCTGCCATCATAAAATTTTCACCAAACTCTTAACAGTCATTATGGTAAAAGTTTAAAGGAGGAGATCCTTCTCTATTTACTTAGATATTTAACAGGTTCAAGTTATGGATATAGCAGATAAAAAAAAAACTTAAGTAAATTAGACAAATGCACATTTGCTGAACTCGGAGCCATTTTTATCTATATCGAAATACAGTGCAATTAACGCTCAATTTCTTCGACCCTACAATTTTGAAAACCTTTTACTGCATGCTGTTCTTTTGGAAACAGGCTCCAAATTTTAATTTTTTTTTTTTTTTTTTTTTTTTTTTTTTTTTTTTTTTTTTTCAAAATGCGAGGGAAAACAAATGAATAGCAGTTTAGTCTTTCTGTAAAAAAATATATATATTATATATACTTAACTGCTTACCAAGAATTGGGTGTACGTTAAATCAAGGTAAAGGTGGTATGATTGTGTTGTGACATCATTAGAGCTAAATCACAGTGTTTGGCAACAATGTCGTATTAACATTCTGTTATGGCTTAAAAGTTTCTCATTCACTTAATTCTTTAGAGGGAAAAAGTTTCAAGAATTCTAAAATATTCCTGTTCATTGAATGCCAGGCTTTTACTATAAAGAACATCATTATTTGTTAAAAATATAATACACTCTACGTATGTATAGTCATATTTTCTTATAGCCCTATAAAATAACTTATAAACTACATTATATGTTTTAAATGTATGGCTTCTATTCTGTCCTAAGTATTATGATTAGTAGAAATCACTTGCAGTACAAGAAAATTGGAGTGATTTTCGTTTTTGTATTTAAAAAATTTGTCTTCACTTTTTCCTTCAGTTTGATTTCTAATAATAATTTTACTAAAGTAAATTAAACAGCAACAATATCACAATTATAGCATGTGTATCACAATCTTCAATATACTGTGACGTTACAGCTACTAGCACAAACACACACACACCCCGCGGGCACAGGTGCTGAATTATAACTTCCTGTTTTGATCGCGGACAAAATGGACCATACCTGCAAAAAGCAGGACTGCAGAAAAAAAAATCCATGGGAGTTTCCGGACACAAGGAACTAATTATGTTTCTCTTCGCAGATAACAAAACGAGTGAAATCTTTGTGTAAGAGTTCTTCATGTGATTTTGAGGGGTGACAGGACGCATCCTTTGTGTTCTAAACCATGCCAGTGGTTTCTGTAGAACAATAGTTTTTTTTTATGCTGTAACTACAGTAAAAAGGACTTTTTTTTTTTTTTTTTTTTTTTTTTTTGTGCGTCCAATCTGCGTTAGCGGATATTGTATGATTTAGGGCTGTAATGATCAGTTTATTTTTATGTTTTAATCAAGAAATCTATTTTAGTTTATCAAATAAATAATTTAAAAGACAACCTGTCTTTCTTTCACCCGACACGGGTGTCCTGACGTTACAATACATACATATTTGTGTGTCTATATATATATGCACACATACTGGGCGTTCAGCTTATAGCTACACAAAAAATGCTCCAAAAATCTGTGTGACCAAGAATTAATTTTGAATGAAATTATATCCTGATGCAGACAACCTTGCCATTACATCTCACAAAATGAGAAATCCTACCTCCATCATGTCACTAACAATATCTGTATGCTTCTCTATAGGTACCCTAGCAACACAATAGATATGCACTTTGTATCCCAACTCTATCTGCGTGTTAAAGAGCATGTTTGGCTGTTTATTCTTTGACAAATTCTGGCTTGCAGATCATCCAGGTTTTGCACAGGCATGTGATACATGAGATCCTTAACATAGCCCCAAAGAAGGAAAAAATAACTGAAGAAACATCATGTGACTGCAGAGGGTTGCCAAAAAGTTCTGAGCCTTGTCCAGTCCATAGTCCATCTCTTTATCTAGAAAATTACATGTTTGTTTCAAAAAATGTAGTGAAGCCCCGTTCTGCTAAAAAATGGTACCGAGAGGAAGCTTAGGTATGACAAAAAAAATCCCAGCATTTTGAGATAATATGCTGAGGTCACTATTTCTTCAAACAAATGGACCTATGCGTCTTTCATAATGCCATACCATTCTCATTTGGTGAATCATGTCCAGTTTTGTGTACCGTATGTTCATTTTCACTATCCTTGAACTGACAATTGTGTCTGATCCAGCTTTCCACTAACATGAAATGTAGACTGATTTGGGAAACAATGTGTTAGAAGGAATTCTTTATCCTTTTCCATTTTCAGTTACATGGCCATGGTAAATAATTTTTTCTTCTGTTTGTTGGCAGGAGAGATAAATTGATGGCTCTGAATCTTGCAGGTATTTGTGCAGTGCGCCATGCACAACTGAACTGCAAGTTTGTCCCTTTCTTTTCTAATGGATATCTTTGGATTTCTGTGAAAGGTCATGTGAATTCTCTTCATGTTGTCCTTGAGCACATTCCCCTTCATGTTTAGTCCCATACTGTCAGTTTGTCCCATTTTACAATGCTAATGAATGTCAGTATCTTATAATGAGATAAAGATAATACTCATGATACGTTGCACTAGGGTCACAGACTTAATTTTCACAAGTCATAATATGCGAAACACCTTTTATTGTGAAGTGCCCCCGTATTTGTTTATTATACTCATGGGCTAGCACTCAACACCATTTTATGTTTTTGTAAATAGAAACAGGTGGTACTACCATAATATTTAGCTTTTGATTATGATAGTTATTTGTAATCTTTGAGCATGTTTCTTTTATTATAGCTATAAGCTGGATAGGTTGTATATATATGTACACTGCGGGGGGAGGGGGGAATGGGACAGTTCTATACCTCCCGTTATACTCGGCCAATTGACGAAATTCGTCTTACGTTTTTCATATCTCAAAAATGCGACTTAGGATATGTATTAGACTTATATATAGCTTTACGCCCTTTATTAAAATTATTTGAAAGTATAAATGATGGACTCCCCCCCTCCCCGCTCACACACACAAAGAAGAAACACAAAGGAAGATAGATTGTTATACATTAGAGTTTCTTAAACTGTGGATCTTAAACTTTCATATCTCGAAAACGCGACTTAGGATATGTATTAGACTTATATATAGCTTTATGCACTTTATTAAAATTATTTGAAAGTATATGATGGGCTTACCCCCCCCCCGCTCACACAAAGAAGAAACACAAAGGAAGATAGATTGTTATACGTTAGAGTTTCTTAAACTGTGGATCGCAATCCCTGTGGTTGTTGCGGAACTGCAACAGGGGGTTGCCAAAAAGTTTAGTAGTTTTGATATTTCTTTAACTTATTATAATAATTTACAATTGGCATATATTTTTAAGCAACATATCTGAAAATAGATAAAGATAAGACAATACAAATAAAGAAAAAACGAAACGTCTTTGACACATTCTTTTTATAATATAAACGTTCATTTTACTTGCTTTGTACATGATGCTGTTATTTTGTCTATTATTTATTTCAAATTTTCACATTGTTCTGTGTCTTAAAATTAGAAATTAAAGTTAATGACCTAAAACTATGGCAGTATATTACAGTAACAAGTGAAAAAATTGACAGTTTCACTCATGTGAGTGTCGGATTTGCGCAATGCTTATGAGGTCCCACAACATTTTTATAAATATTATGGGGTCCTGTGGTCACGAAAAAGTCTCAATGATAGAAAGGGGTCGTGACTGAAAAAATTTTAAGAAGTTCTGCTTAAATTAAGGAGTTTGCTAAGTGAATTATTCTTGATGCAAACTGAAAATATTGTGCCAAGATAAATATTTAAAATTCCTCCATAAATTTCTCACCAAAAATTACAAAATTTAATATCTAGGCATAATCTGTATCATAGAATCGAAATATGGGAAAAATTGGTATGTTATTTCAGAAAATTCCAATTTGTGTTAAAA